AGGGGTTATATTGACCGAGGTAAAACAAAATACGGAGCACCCGGGGCGATGGATGGTAGGAAACGGGAACGCTCCATGCCAAACGACGGATTCTCAAAAGTACCTCGCATATATCAGTACTTGCTTCCGAAAATAAGGCATATTGTTACAAAATCAAAACTGCGCCTACGCACAGCTTTGAAGAGCGCCAATAATCTAAAAACGTCTTTGATCTTCCATCCCGAAGCCTAAGCGACCGGTGGGCGATGGGCAATAGCTGTCATTTATGCAAGCATAGGTGAAGAAACAGGGGTTTCACTTAACACTTTTCAAATTAAGAACACCTTTCAAATTGAGGTCGCGTTTGGCTTACTTTGCACCACATTAAACATACGTGCCGATTTACCTAGCTCACCAGCCATCTTCTTCAAAATGCGTCATCTTTTTCGTTTGTTCATTGGCCATCGCTTAGTGCCACAACCGCGGACCAAAGCCGCGCGGCCCTTGGAGACTGCATCGCCGGGTGTCGAGGCTGTTGCGTGAACTGCGAGCGCACATGTTCAGGACCATATTACATTATTTTTTTATCAGCAATTATTTCTGACCGAATCATGAGCATTTTAAGATGAACACGGATAAGCCATGTTGATATAAATTTGGGACCCTATTTCATCCAAATATACGTTTAGAGAGTTCTCAATATCTCTAAAAAGCACAAAAAACATGGAACTGGAGTATATATGACAAGTATTGGACCACCTGAGGCGATTAGGGATGTTGTTGCGTTAATGAGGCCTCTGGGGCCGACTGCTTGGGCCAGGAGGCTTCCGGTGTGAGGGATGGGAACAATGTGGTCCGGTATTTCTAATGGCCTCCGGATCGACCAGGAGATCTCGCCCTGTGCCGCCAGATGACAGCCAGAAGACAATTTGCGAAGGCACGGAGCGGCCCTTCAGCGCTTGACCGGAACTCGAATGTGCCCCTAGTGTTTTACTCAAGGCGCCCCTTGCCCAGAGGGGTCGGGTTGCATAACCTTGCATAAGGGGTCCTATTATTGTTGAGTAGAGTGATGACATCATTGTTGAATAGAGTGGGTCGAAATAGATTAAAAAACGAACAAGGTCATGCCATGTTTGCCTGAGAACGCTCATTTTTTTCAGCACGGATTAGCGAAAAAAATACTCGAAAGGTTTGAACATGCGCGCCCGCAACCTCGAGAGCAAGGACAGCGATGGTCTCGGTTGCAGCCTCCGTAAAACCGAACGGGGTGGGCCATTGCAAGTGTCACCAGACGGCAAGCGTCGTGAAAATCTGTCTTCTGGACAGATTAATAGTTACAGAAACACAAAAATAGAGATTATACCTTTACACTTCCATTCCAGTGCCACCACCAGATTTTGGCACCACTTTGAGGTGATTTAACACGGGCTCGGGTTGGAGTCAAATTGACCCCCTCCAGAATGTCTTTTCGGAATGGTTTCCAGTGCGGCGTAGCCGCGCCAAATTTGACATTGCTGTAGACGATTGAATAGCGGATTGTATGACATCACAAATTGAGATTAACCTTCTAAGGTCGCTAACCTGTGGCAGGTCAAAGTCAGACCACGGTTTCAGCGAAGGCAATTTCCAAGGAACCTTCCAATCTAATCGGAGTGTTAGAAGAAGCCACAAATCTCTGAGATACTTTCTTAGGCAACACAACAATTGAATGAACAAATTGCATCGGCCTAAGGTCATGTATGAAGGTCAGACCAAGGTCAAAATCAACCTGCTTTATTACTTTAGGGCTTGCTGTATCGGGTGGTTTCTGATACTCATTTCGAGTTTATTGATAACAGAAACCACATTATACACCTTCCGTAAGCTTTTAAAGGTCAGAATAGATCGCTGACCTAGAATAACCCAAGTCAACAGTTTGTTTTTAGGAACATGCTGCGTAGCGTAATCTATGTCGTTTATTGCAATGCAAAACGCAAAGCGGTGCTGTATGATTTTAGTCACCATGACCTTCAAAAGGTTAAAAGTCGTCATTGACCTAAGATGAGAATGTAACTTTTTCCTTAGAACAGTTAACTAGATTCTAGCGGGCCTTTGAAGAACAGCAAGGAATTTGACCTTGTTTGACCTTATTTAATCCAAAGATCATCAGATCTCATCGAACCCCACCCGAGCGAAGCGTATGCAACCGGCCAACCGGCCAACCAGACGCGTGATGAAGGCCAATCCGTTCTTATCGTCAGTCTAAAAATCGCACACGTGAAATATGCACACATACTGATCTAATCTTATTAAATCTTACTTAAAAAATCTACTAATTCCTACTAAAAAGAATCCTACTTGGATCTTACTAAATCTTAATCTTACTTAATCTTATCTAAAGAATTTTACTTAATCCTTCTAAATCTTACTAATGAATCTTACTGAAAAAATTGTACTTCATGCAAGATTTCGTGTCCTGAAGCGTTCAAAGGCACTTCTTTCAGAAGTGTCACCATTTTCGTCTACCCCTTTGACCACGACTCAGTATTAGCTGCTAGGTCTACGCTGCGCTTCCCACGGAGACTGCAACACCTGGCGTAGAGATTTGTTGTTTCTAAGATTTGTGAGTACGTATGTCCAAAATTACCTTGCATATCTTGTATTACTAATCGATTTAAGTGTTTAAAGGTAATTATTGCAGAAGTGTCATCATTTTCGTCCGCCGGTGGGCTAGGGCGAAAACGTAACCACTGGGTTCACGCCCTGCGGACTATGGACATTGCAACGTCTGGTGTCGAGGTTTTTGTTGCTGAGATTTGCGAGCGCGCATGTTAAAAAGCCGCGTTACATAACTTGTATCACTTATCGACTCTGACTGAATGTTAAACATTTCCAGACGTGAACATGGCTTAGCTATGTCAATACACATTGTTGATCACTCGATCCACAGTCAAATTTTCATCTAACAAGTAAGCTATATCCCGGGATTTATTTGGCGAGGGGAGGGAGGATGGTTACCATAAGAGGGGCTTCCGTTAGGCCTGTGTTCCCTCTCAGCAAGGCTCTGGCTACGACCCTGCCTACACACAAAAGCAGATCAAGTCGTCTGCGTTGAATGATGGGCAATTCAATGTCCGTGGGGCAATTCATACCTAAGGCAGACAGCTTCACGGAGGCCTTTTTCTGGGGTGGTGGGCTGTAAAGGAAGATAATTCGGAAAAGATGCTTAGGTGTCCTTAGCAGGCGTCCAACATACATTTTGCACACCAAAAATAGTAATGCTGATCCAGAAATATGCAACAAAGCAGCCATACAACCAGTCTGCAGTCATGCGGTAAACAGCTGGGCCAGGGCAGCATTCGCCGACGGCGGGCGGAAGCAAGGCCCAGATAACAAATATATGATACAACGGCTGTTCTGTGGCTTGGCCTTTGAAGGAGAACGCCCAGGCTTTTGTGGCTTTGGCCATGGCTTTCGTAATAGTGTATTCGGTAGTTTTAAGCTTCCGTTTCCTCCTGAAATGCTGCCATAACCCTTACCTCGTAGAGGCAAATGCCTCCTCAATGACCCCAAATGCCTACAAGAACAAGGGATGGACATATTCTTTGTCAGTGAGTCCAGGCGCCCATTCTTTTGATATGTACTGAAGACCTGCTAGTCGCTAAAACAAAACCGAGAATACGCCCTTCGGCGATCTTTTCCTTTACAAAACGCGCTCAGACTGAAATACAGCGAGATACGGACCCTACATCCCTTTTAGAGCTAAAACCCATATATAGAGCACAGGACCATCCAGACAGGAACATAAGTGACTTTTTTAAGAGGTCGGTGACCTAACTTTAGCGTACAGAGTTCACCATAACCGATTGCGAAAATGTGATTAGTGTATTGATGTGGACTGCGTGCTAGCTTAGAACCTTTCAAAGAGAATGTTTCAGATTTGTATGGGGTTTTAAACTGAAATAGCCATCTTGAAGAACTTTTGTTGCTGTTCATAATCCTGCTCTTCTTTAGATCTAAGCCGTTCGAGTTTCTGAGCTACACACCCGCAAAAATGGGGAAGGGGTTATCGGGAGAGTATTTCAGTCACCTTGGCATTCATGACGTCACAATAATGTCACTCAAATCATGCACTCCATTCCACAGACCATGCAGCGATCAAAGCCAAGAAAAGATCATTGTCGAGGCGTTCATATCTGACGTTCGTGAGCGCGATTTTCAGATTTAACGGCCGTCAATGGGCTGTCAATCAATGTTGTGCGAGGTAGGATGACGTGATCAAACCAGGACGCGAATTGAGAAGCATATTTGCGAAACAAAATTGTGATGTCTAGAACAGTCTTTTCCACTTTAAAAGTTAACCAGTGGTCATGAGTGAGCTTGTTTCATCATATCTTATGCTTTCCTCAAAAGTTTCAAACGTGAAACGCTATCTCTAATGCCGTGGTGATGCCTGATGCGTGATGCGCAATGCCTGCAAGATAAAATGGTTTACGTGCATAAGTGGTGTGTGATGCGTAATACCTCTTTTTGAAATATTCTGCATGTATAACTGATGCGTTATATGTGATGTTTGTTTGTTGGTATCCGTTTGCATGTACACACATTTTTTCAGGGATTTCAATTTTTATTTAGATGTGCACTGTCTCGTGATAATGGCTGGCAGAAGCTCTTTGTTTTCCCCTTGAATGCTGGTTACCTGTAAAAACTATGGCTCGCTGTTAAAAATGATAAAAAACTCAAAAACCAAAAAGTCTAGAAATCGTCAAGCGGTATCAAAGTTGCTACTGATATTAGTTTTCATAAAGGCATGTTGCCGAAATATCAGTTAATCATCTATCCATTATTCTGGCTATTCTACCAGGAATAAAGCTATTTGTATTGTCTTATCTACTCCTGAAAACGCAGCAACTCGGAATGTACAGTGCATTTCCAATCAGCTAATTTCCGTTCGTTTGGTGTTTCAGTGACGTCATCAACATCGCGCATTTAAGAATGAGCAAAAACGGTTTGCTTGGCACCGATGCTATCATCAGCTGGCACGTACGTGGCTGCTCATCTGAGTTAAAAGGCGTAGTATTTTTTGGACGTTCCTATGTCACTGGTGTTGTAAGATTGTCTTAAGTAGTTTGAATAACTGTACCAAAGCCATTCTGAGCACTGAAGCTCCTGCCTATGCTAAAAGGGTATGATAAGAAAATTTCTTTAGCAGGTCAGTTGCATCTGGATGGGAATATGATTGCAAACTCTGTGAAGTGATGTATGGCCAAGCAATTAAAATGTAATCGAGCTAAAAAATGGCCACTTGTCTTGTCCACTAAGGTGTCTACTTGTTTTTTATTCTTGTTTTGCAACATGAAAGTAGGGAAGCATGTTTGGATATATGGTCATGACCACACAGCACAGTGGTTGATGTGTAGCAGACTTGCAAGATTTATTGTGGCTGTGTTTCTGTTTTAGCCAAGTTATTGCATTCTGCATGGTGTTTGATGCTGGTTTCTATCCCGGGGATTTAGTGGATTGCTGGCAATAAAGAGAACATGGTCAGCCGGAGGCATGTGTAAAGAGTATTTGTGCTGAATATGATTTCAGGTCAACATCACTTTGCATGATATAAGACATAAGCCTCTTCTTGGAAATAAGTGCAGATCTTGTGCCATCTCCTGAAATGGGCCTTAAGCTTTGTCAGTGATGGTTAAATGTACAAGTCATCGTTGGCAGTGGTTTTGCTTGCTTCCATTGTCGTGACCAGTCAAAGGAACATTGTTGTGTCATGATAATGAAGCTTCCCTTGCACCTCTATTGGAGATGTGAGGGAAGCTTCATATTCATATTGGAGTTTTAAGCAGCTTGATATCATGCTGCCATCAATAACAAATCTCTGTTGTGGCCACCAGATCTGCCACGATGAAACAGCCAACTTCACCGCCGCCAACACAGCCTCAGTCGCCATACCATTTTGATTCCAGTGTGTCGCCCCTGCCACCTCCCATCACACATGGGTATGTTCAAATATTTCCAAAGTGGACTAACTGCTGAACTTAGCCTGGTTGCGTAGCCTTGAAGCCAGTCTGATAACAAGTGCGGAAATTCATTGTGTCTAGGATTTTTGACATTGCCAACCCACACATGCAAGATGTGTCAGCATGTCACTTGCCCTCTGCTAAAAAGTGGTCAGTATGTGATCAACATTTGCAGTGAACCTGTCATTGACATAACAAACAGCGTCTCATGCCATACTTGCAGCTGGGTCAATTGCACTGGATTGGAACCCTGCACATGAACATTCTCAGCTATCAGAACTTGTTTGCTTCTGTTATCGCTTCAGTGCACTTCCCATCCTGTCACCAGCTGATCTGACCTGTTGCTGGTCAACATGACATGATATACATCCTGGTGCTGCAGAGCCAGCTGTCTATCAGCAGCTGCCAAGCGGTACAAGTACCTGCGGCGCGTGATCCACTTCAGCCAGATGGACTTTGAGTTTGCGCTCTGGCAGATGTTATATCTCTTCATCGCGCCCCAGAAGGTCTACAGGGATTTCCATTACAGGAAGCGTGAGTGTCCTGTAGGAACCCACATGGTACTTCTCTGGTTGTCCACCCTGCAGTCACTGCTGGGGGGCAGACAGAGTGCCAGTCTTGGTGGACCTATCTGTGTGACTCCATGTTCTACAGGATCGGTTGTCATAGCAGCACATTTTGTTGCGATGATTATGATGATGATCATGATCATCCGTGACTCACAGGGTCCTGTTCAGGTCCAAGCTAGTGTATTTCATTTTGAGCAAGAGCTCCTATTCACTGTACGTGGGCACATTTTGAAAGTGTAAACCCATATACTTACTGCATAGATTGCAAACATGTGCTTCCAGAAACTGGTGGCTTTGTGTTGAACATTCATGTACAAAAGTTAGTTAGTATAGTGTGTGCATGGATACAAGTTAACAAATTCAAACACCTCTTACCGCCATTGAATCTCAGGACTCTGATGTTCTTTGTGGTTTGTTTTTGATAACCTTCAGATTGTAAATATGCTGAGCATGCACCATTTGCCCTGGCTGAGCGCAGTGTCCTGCTGGACAGGCTCCGGCGCCTAATCCAGTGGCACACCTGAATGTAAGAATGCAAATGTTTCATTTGCAGTTGTCTGAGTTAGGCACCTTCTTGAATTGGATCCCTCATCTCTGTGGATATGAAGTTACCTGTCACACCCAGCTCCGATGTACCCCGGAGATCCACCCACTCCGCACCCTCCCACGTCGCCTTGTACCAGGCTTGACCTCTCCGCACCACCCTGACAGCTCAGACTCCGCTGCCTGCTAACCAGCGCCATCTGTGCTGCAGAGACGAAGGCGCAGTTCGCCAGGGACGACCCGGCCTTCCTGGTGCTGCTCAGCGGCTGGATCATTGGTAAGCTGGGCTGGCTGTGCGCGTCGCCGCCTCGGCCGCAGACAGGGCGGGCGGGGCCGCGGCGGAGCCCGTCTTCCGCTGTGTCACTCGTTGCGTGACTCGAAGCTCTCGTTAGGAGCCGGATGGCCAGTCTCGCTGGAGTTGGCCGGCCAGCAGGGCACGGAGCGGGCGGTGGGCTGGCCAGCAGGGCACAGAGCGAGCAGTGGGCGGGGCACGGAGCGGGCGGTAGGCCGGTGTCGCGGGCCGGGGGTTTGATGCATCGGTATTGTGCGGTGCTGGAGACACACCGGCACACTGTGCCAGTAACGGTGCGCCCGTAGCGTTGTGTCGCGGACATTGTCCGACGAGACGCCCTTCGCAGTACGCCTGATATTGTGCCACTGACAGTGTACCGTTTGCAGTGTCGTCGGCCTGCTTCGCGCTGGTGCTGCGACTGGGCGTGGGCGGCTTCCTGGTGTTCCTGTTGTACGTGTTCACCGTGGACACGCTGCTGATCGGCGCCGTCATCGCCACAGCGCTCTGGTGGGTGCCGGTGCTGCTCCCTCGCTCGCCTCCCCAGCGGTTGTGGCCTCAGTAGCGGCGTGGCTCCGTGGACCGCTGGCCTCAGTACGCGGCGTTCGCGGGCCAGGATACGGTCACACATTGTGAGCGTGCGTCTGATGTAGGCGTCCGCCAAAATGTGTACGGCACGGATCTTTCTGTTTTGTTTGTCCGTGCAGAAAACGCAGTCACCACGACCTGTCACAGTGCAAGCTACACATGTTTGTATCATGTTTGTGCCGTCTGCGTAAGCCTTTAGATTGGATTCATGTATTGACGTCTCTGGTCGCCTGGCCTGTGCCATGTCTCCCCAGGCTGCTGAGTAACCGGTACCTGCGCCACTCGCCGGACACTGGCCAGGACGTGGAGTGGGGCTTCTCGTTTGACGTCCATCTCAACGCGTTCTTCCCGTCGCTCATCATCCTGCACATCGTTCAGATACTACTCTACAGAGGTCGGTGCTCGCTGGCGCTATGCCCCCCGTAGGCGATTAATGTTCCAGCGCTCTAATAACGGCACTGCGTGGCGTTCAGTGCCGTGTCGCATGTCAGCTTTTGTCTGAGTATTTACTGGAAGCCAACGGAATAGGGAGAATTGCTGTGGGAAGTGTTATGCATGATTAAGTAAGTTGCATAAACCTGGCAGTCATGGGTGCTGTCGTACACACGACTACTTGGCAGACGTTTTACCCTGTTTTTCTTCGCAAACGACCAACGGATGCGCTGAATCAAACGGTGATGGGGAGTCCCATGATTATGTAGGCCAACGTTTTGGTGGACCAATAGTTATTGATGGCGCCATAGGTTAGGTGATTTCCAGAGTTTGAGCTGATTCCCATGATGCCTATTTCTGCTGTAGACCTGAAATACGGGCATTGCAGGCAACAAGGTGTGTAAATGCATGTGGCAGGCGCCAAATCTGTCATGCGGGCTTTTCGGATTCAGGTGGAGTAGTCTTCACCAGGTCAATAGGCTAACGCCCGCTAGCCCTGAGACAAGACCTAGCCCGGCTTTGACCTACGATGACCCAGTTAAAATCAAACGGCAAGGAATGCCTTTTGGGTGCCTAACGGTTTGTATCGATCTCTCGCTGTATTGTCATGTAATGTCACCGCGTGACAAGACACCGGGCGGCGGAAGGAGCATCGCAGATCGCATTGATGACGTGGTCTTGATATGACCCAGGTTGATGTGACTTTGAGTTCATCCTAACGCACTTGGTGGCTATTTTGCGACACGGGCGCGATACGACCATTACAGTTGGCGCGTCCTAAAGCCCAAATCATCATCATCATCATCATCATTATCATCACCCGAGTGTTTCAAATCGCTCTTTCAGTTTGGCTGTTGTTGTAGGACAATCGAAACAGGTTTAAAACACCCTATGATTCACGGTGTGTTCCCCGACTTGGCTTCCTGTTCAGAATGGACCAACAAAGTGGCCTAATGCAAACGAGTCCACTCTCGCCCTAACCCATGCCACTTTGCAACCCACAGCAATCACAAACTTTGTTCCGCCAGCGTTCCTGGTGCAAGACGGTTTCCTTTCCCATCTGGTTGGGAATGTACTGTGGACGGTGGCCATTGGGTACTACATCTACATCACGTTCTTGGGTTATAGTGGTGAGTAATTCGGCGGACACTGAGCACCTGCCATGCCATTTACGGGTTAGGTAAACGCTTCTGTCGTTGTGTTGCGTCTAATACAGCGGTTATGATCATCCGAGGCAACGTCATTGTAAACGGATTGTGTATTGGTGGTTTGGATGTACCTTAAAGTTTTCGAAAGAGGATGGCAAATTTTGTTTTGCGGCGCTGTCCTGCCATGCTTTGCTTGCGTTCCGGAAGTGATGATTGTCTGGTTTGATGTTACCACTCGCATGTAGCTCGTGCCGTGGCTGGTATTGTGTGCCGAACCCCGCGCCTCTCAGCGTGTCACCCTGACCCTGGCACGCGCCGCCACAGTGCTGTGTGTGGGTCTCGCGCCTCTCGCCGCGTCTCCCTGACCCCGGCCCGCGCCGCCACAGTGCTGTGTGTGGGCCTCGCGCCTCTCGCCGCGTCTCACTGACCCCGTCCCGCGCCGCCGCAGCGCTGCCGTTCCTGAAGAACACGCGGGTGTTCCTGTACCCGCTGACGCTGCTGGCGCTGATGTTCGTGGCCGTGACGGCCAGCGGCGTCAACCTCAGCCGCACACTGATGGAGTTCTACCGGTACCGCGTGCTGGCCAGCTCCAACTGGCTGTGATGGTCCGGACTGGGGCCGGGGACTGGACCCTTGGGGAGCGGAGGCCGCCCTCTGACGGGCGCGGACCTGCTGTGTGGTGACGTGCAAGTGATGGGCGCTGGGCCGCGGGCGTGCGGCGCCTGGCGGTGATGGCGGGACGTTGTGCACCACGCGTCGCGTTTGTTATGTTCAAGGCCACTGTTGGTGGGTGATGCGCATCGTTTAGCTGTGAGTCACGTTATTTTCTGTATGATATCGACACTTTCGACACTGTGCTGGTTATCCAGAGTGCTGCGAATATCTAATACAGTCCTCTTTACTACTGCGACTGTACTGTTGTGCAAGCTCGCGACTTCATAGACAGCCGATGGTGTGGTTGCCAATCGTAAGGGATGACCCCTGTTTTTTTCATTCTTGCCAAAGGTAGTTTTCCACTGATGACGCGCATTCCTGATCGATACACGTGCATCGCTGCGTCCTTCTAAAGCCGTGCCTCGAGAAGGATGGACAGACTTTCTGGGTATCCGAGGATGTCATTACACATCTGGGCGGAGCGTGGCACGGCTGGCTCGAGGCAGGCTGCCGTCCGGTAGGCCCCGTGTTCGGTACATTTCCACCAGGGTGGGCGCCGGCCGTCCAGCTGAGCCCCGATAGCGGCTATCTCGCGGCGTCCCAGAGCACGTTTACCGCACGCGTGACCGGCAGCGCGTGGCGAGTTCGGCCGGAGGGGCGGGGCGTGGCGCGGCGCACCGAAGCCCGGCCTGGCTCGCTGCGCGGACATTCTGTGAAGGGGCGACACTCACGGGCCGTGCATACGTCGGGAAGGCAGGCACCCTCACAGCATCCAGGGAGGGGACAGCCAGCGGTCTCGGCTTGTTAGGAAATCACCTGCCACGTGCGTAGTAGTGCCGAATAAGGTATGCCAATGAGACGTGCCATATAACTTTAAGGACACTTTGCCGGGTGATAGTTTTTCGTTAATGCGACGGTGGACCCTTCTTTGCCCCGCACCTCATCTTGAGCCCCTCCGTAGGTACGGCGGTTCACTGCCACGAGACGTTGTGTCATTGTGGAGTCCCCCCCCCCCCCCTCCCCCCTGAATTGTCGACCTCCGGGACGTGTCTGCCGGGAGACGAGCGCAGTGGCACCAGCCGAGCATGGCGCGTTTGTCGGCTACGGGAGTGCTTCCTGCAGCCCTTCAGAAAATGCGTTGTAAAGCAGCTGAATATTTATTCATCGCCGGCGTCAACCCACGTCGTGCTACGGAAATCCAACTCCACGCGACACACCCAATGGGACGCGCACTTGTCTGCAACCTGCCACCTCTGCAGCCTGAATAGTTCGGTCGGTTTTCCCGACTGTTGCATGATAGAGTACGGACGCCATCGAGTGGAGAAGCGGACCGATGAAACGCGGCTCAAATTGCACACGCAATGGATTTTTGACGGACCGCAACTTGGCAGTACTGTTCACATTTTCGCTATGATCGGGATCTTTCTCCCCCCCCCCTCACGCCGGAACAGGAATCCGTGCACTATGCATGCACACATGGATTATATACTTAAGTCCACACTTCCGCTCAGCAGGATCTGTGAAAGCGGATAGTTAAAAGTCGTGAAAAACATTTAGAATTCCGGACGCCAAAGAGACGTTACTAATCCGTTGGCGCTAATAATTTTTCTCTTTTCGTCAAATCGAGGCGCCGATCTTGCGTTGACACCCTTCCTGTCTTCTATCTATCAACATCAAGGGACGGTACTGCGCCAAATCCTCTAGTTCGCAGGCTTTCACCAACAACTAGCTATGACAAAGCTGTGTGAATCACAAGACTGTTTTCACCAGCAACTCAACTGTGACTAGAATACGAGTGGGAACAAGTATGCAAACATTCAAGGCGAACGTGCTCGCCTTGCGTACACGCGAAATTCCCTAAAGCAGGGACGACAATGTCCGGATACAGATTATCTAGCGCTGCTTCATTCCAGGATGTACGTGTCGTGGCTACATTTCAGAGCGGTCCAAAGTGTTGACTACACCTATCCATCACTAAGTCCGTCACTACACCTCAAGTCGCTTAGGCATAATGATGTCAGTCACATTACATCCCCATGACAAGATCCTTTCATGTTCACGACATGAAAAAACGTAACGCGCAGCCTTCACAATCGAGACCCACACATGTCAGACATCCTCGCTCTTGTCTTTTTCCTTTAGCCTACGGAAATATCTGCCAAAACATCATTTCACGCTCAACCGGCCGTCCTAGAACTCCATGGTGTAACTCAAAGAACACCGGAGGGTGTTATTCTCGTCATGCGGTCAAAGCCTGAAAGCCGACACCATTACAGCACGCACGAGATTGCAGCCCAGAGGGTTACAGATCACAAGCTGCAGAATACCACCGCACCCGGAGTACGTAGTCCCGCCTTGGGACGGACCGTCCATGAGCTTGGAACACCCAACACGCGTGGCCATACTTCTGCTCAGCCGGCCAAAACTTACCAAAACTGAAAAACAGCGGGATTTCCAGACGGGGACATGCAAAGTAGCAGCTTAAGTGATCCTGCAGATGCCAAGCGTTGTCACCGTTCCAATTATTTTTGGATACGATCAATAAAATGAGCATTCCGGTGGCAAAAAGTGTGAATGCCGTCTGTTGTTGGAGCATTTAAAGTTTTGTGGTGATGCTGATCAGTATAGTTCATGCGCTTTTCAGGGCAGGCTAGATAGCTGTGAACTATTTCTCCAAACGGAGAACAGGTATGCGCATAAGCGCTGAAAGACTTGAAATAGCCGCTAACAGACGATGACAAACTGTAACGGAATGCATATGTGAAGTCGCCCGTGCATAACCTGGTGAGACAAGAAGCAAGCCTCCCGTGGAACATGTAGGGTTCAGCAGGCTTTTGAAATTCAAATGAAAGCGGATAATGGACTGCTTTTTTCTCAAACACATGACGATACAATATATCAATCTGGAATCTCCTTTTGGTACACATACGCAGTCCCGACAGCCGAGTACGGGAGCCCAGCCAGGGGCGAGGGAGCCGGGGGGGGGGGGGGGGGGGCGCCGCGGTTGATGCTGGGTTGGGTGATGCACGAACGGCCGTCGCGGGGGCACTGCCTCGCCAGTCGTCTGCCCCGACGCCGTGCTCCGTTTGCGCTCCTGACCTCAGTGATGGACTGAGATGCGTCACACAGCCCGAACGAGATTACGCACAGCAAGGGAATATACGCCCACATCCTCGGCATGGCCAGAGAACAGGCCGGAGAAACTCGGCGGATCTGACAGTGTGATCCAATCAACTGAATTGGGTGGATTGGATTGACAAGAATTTTCAGCGCATAAATTTGGATATCTGGATTTATATTTGCACTACATTGTGAGTTTCAAATCAAAGACGTAAAGCGTCTCTGGAAAAAGCTTTCATATGTGCATGATATCAGCTACCAATCAGACTATATGTATATACAAAATTTGTGCTGAAGATGCATGGATTCTTAACCAAATGTTTAACTTTCGCTACGCTTTGCATATTTTGAGCGGATCAAAGTCGGGTTAGATTAGCTACGAAGGAATTTTTTCAATTTTCATTATGAATTTAAATCACGAATCACGGATTTCCTAAGTCAAATTTGATCATGGACCACTGACCTTAACTGCATCTGAACCCGGCCTGGCCGAGCAGGGATGGACAAAACGCCTCCGTGTGTGCACTCTTGGTCATAACCATCATCAGTGTCGTGGACTGGAATTCCACTCCCGCCTCTCTGCGTTGAGCACAGGGCAGGCGCCGCCCCGCGCTCCAGCCGGTCGTCAACGTCAGAAACACGCTCTTCGGGAGTCGACTCTCAAGCACGCGAACGTGCCGCTGGGGACCACATGAGACCGTGTAGGGACCACTTGAAGCCGCGTGGGAACCACCTGAGGCGGCGTGGGAACCACCTGGGACGACGATCAGCGCCGCTGGGGTCAGCTCAGGCCAGCTGGCGCTGGCAGCGGGCTGTGATGACGCCAGCCGGCGCTGACAGCGGGCCGCGCTGACGTCAGCCGGCGCTGACAGCGGGCCGCGCTGACGTCAGCCGGCGCTGACAGCGGACCGTGATAACGACCTCTGACGAACGACAGTCGCCTCGTCACATCAGCCAGCGGAGGTAGCACGGCGTTTGGAAGGTGCCCGGCGCCACAATCTCGTCCACGGAGTAGAAGACGACCACGGTTGAGAGCGCCACGCATAGTATAATCACCACCACCAGGTAGAACCGCTTGAAGAGGTACTTTTTGCTGGAACGGACACGGCGAGAAGTTAGCGCTGAAGCCGGTTTGAACGCGTAATACGCCTCACACCAATAGAAGCCCCAGAACTGTACCGGTAAATGTGGCTCGCAATACTGCAAGACATACAATGCTCAGTAGTGTAGGATATGGATCTTTTGGTGATGAAACCTCGGATAATTGCGACACATATACGTATGACGAACCCAACGGCCTCAGCAGTGAAATGCGTCGCACATTAAGCCCAGTCAAAAACAAAAATATGGGAAGCACCGGCGATCAGGGACGTGGCCAAGACAGCACATGTAAGGTGTGATCATTGCCCTCATCGTGTCTGATCATTGCCTGGTCACTTGTTAGGTCGTTATCTTTCCCCCAAAAAGGAAAGGGGGGAGGTAATGGGGCTGTTGTCCCCCCCCCCCTCACCCCACCTCCCGGCCAAAACGTTTACATTTGACACTGGATGATTTCGCAGGCATTTGATACGGGTTTAGGATAAAATGACCTTCGATCCCAGCCTTTGAGAATAATGTTGGCTCCGCGCCCGCCGGCGATTGTAATATTGTAATGTTTTATGTGGTATGTGTAAGCAATTGTAATGTGTTGTATGGTATGTGTGAACAACTGCAATGCGTCATGTGTAAACTAATATGAAATATTTGTTTACACTTTAGACACAAATATAACCTTACACATTTACACAGAGGTCTGGGTCCTGGCAAATGGCAACGTCCGCTGAAGCCGTTGCATGCCGAAGCGTCCGTTATGAATACGCGAGCAGACACGGTGAGTCACGAGGCGCCCGAGCTGCGCCAGACATGACATGTCGTCACTGAGTTACCAGGCGCCCGAACTCTGCCAGATCCGACATGGGATCAGTGATTCACCAGGCGCCCGAGCTCTGCAAGACCTGACACGGGATCAGTGACCAGCTGATCACCTGCGCTGTCCAGCTAGTGGTGACCGCGCCCAGTGCCGCTATTTGCGCTGAATCATTAGTCCCGTTGTGACTTACTATCCGTGTTTGCTGGTGCCGTGGTACTCCCCGCGCATGCGAATGTACAGCAGCGAAGGGAGGATGAAGGTCAGCATCAGCGTGAACGTGCCGCCGATGAGATGCATTATCTTGCCGAAGCTGGGCACAGTTTCGGCCACGAACAGCGCCAGCAGCATCAGGCTCGAGCGCACCAACACGCGCCACTTCGTCAGGCCTTCGGCTGCGGGTGCAGGCAAATGAACGTAAGGAAAGCAGAAATATATTGGAAACGGCAATAAGCGGTGGGTCATCTGCTGCGCTGTATGTCGCAACGGTAACAATCGCCTTCTATCGGCGCCTGAAGCAGTGCTCTGCTAAAATGAGTGATACACAGCGTTATCTTCCAAACCTGTGCTTCATAACCGACATTACTGTACAATGTACAAAGTGTAGCCGCTCCTGCGAAAGAAATCTCATTTGGACTCCCTGCTTACCACCACAAAAGCGATGCATTTAATTTGCTTTGCATTTTACAGTGTATGCGTTCTGTAATGTTTGCTACCCACTAATTTGGCAATATGTTCGTGTAATAAATGTTACGGAAGCTTAAAGCAATTTGTTTAGACAAAAATATATGCAAACATGAAGCTGTTATTATGACGTGAATTCAACGAAAAGTTTACAATGAATTTTATTTCTCCACTATAGCGTCCACCACAGTGGCTCTTCTCAAGGCGCAACTTGAGTTTGGGAGTGAAAACACCGCATGGTGCATAGTAATGCAATGGTTCGAATTTCAACCAATGCACTTCTCACTAACAGGCCTTGCCGCCCGCTGGGCGAATCACAAATGTCCCTTTATTCGCACCATTAAAGGTGCCACTGCAGTTGCCCTGATGACAATCCTCGCGACTGCGGGGAAGAAGCTCAAAGCTGTTCCAAAGCGTTGACAGCGTAATTTGGCCTCGAAAATTATCAAAAGTAATATCCTTATTGTGTTTTGACGGTCCAGCAGTGGCACTACCCAGTGTCATCATTAGACGTAACTGGTCCTGAGGTTTCACTAGAGCATGTTTTTGAAACGGGACACTCTTTACGCGCGGGTAATCAGCGCCTGCGGCTGCAAAGTGAACTTTGACCTCTTCACGCCTGCCCTGGTCCAATGGCCATCTGCGGTGCTAGGTTAACCAACGGCAACAAAAGGGACCCGTCCGAATAACTACGGTACTGAGCACATGCATGAACCAAGCCACCTGTGTAAGACGACAAGAACACCTAATACGCCCACAGTCAGCCCAAGGCGACATAAATCGCGCCCGCAGACGTCCACGTGTGACAACGCCTGAACAAGCGACACGTGCCCCCGGTCCCCAGACCCCGACCCCAGCATGTCCGTGCCACCTGCAGAAGACGGCAGGGCGGTGCATCGGGGCGTCTGTAACGCCTCTGCACGAGCAGGTGACGCGAAGCCGTCAGGCTGTTTGTCCATGTGATCGGCAGACGCATGGGCCGCGCCCCAGGATACGGAGTACGGACAGGTGGCCGATCCCCGGCACGAGCTGTATGCACTCGCAGGGGACGGCACCAGATTTTATGGGGCTGTTCATTCACGGTTTGTGTTGCAGGAACGTTGCCGGCAGTTGTGTGCTCGCACTGGCGCGGCGAAGCACAACACACCCCACAGGGAGCAGTCACACTAGTCCTCCTGAGAATAGTGCATAAGATCCGTGGCCATCACAAACAAGGCTGCACGTACAGCGCGCATTTTGCGTACCCCCACCAGCAAATCATTTACACGCTCTCGCTGCAGCACAAGAGTGGGTTACACGCTCGCGGGCCGCCACCTGTTGTTACAGGGTAACGGTCTTCCCGGCGCTGTCCCTTATCATACATTATGACTAACAGCTATGAAAGCCCCGGTCTGTTCACTCAGGTCGCCTGAATATTCTCAGGGTCTTGACCGCCTATTCATCCCAGCTGAGGCCGTGTCGAAACAGCTCAGCGCCCGACGGAGTCTCGTTTAGCTGGGGTGGACCGCCTCAGATTTTGTGACTACGCATCGCTTGTGAGCAGTTTTTCTTAACAGTCAGCTGCCGAGTCAGCCTAGCGCACCATACAGCCTGAAAATGATCCGCTGAAGCAAGCACCGAAAAAGTACGCACGTGCCTTAATGACTCGTACGATAGTCATAAAGATAACCACCGAGCCATGAATGAGACCCAAATAGCTCTCCGTGCAATCATCGTTACATGAGAGCATACACCGGCGGTATCGCGGTACCGTGAGTGCAGTTTCTGAGAGGTCTGTGTGAAGAGTGCTGCTATCGACTAGTTTTGTAGGTCTCTACCCATGTAGTTCGAACGAACGCCAGTAAGGTCCGAGCAAGAACGCACAACACGGGCTGCTGTTCGAAACGCTCAGGAATAAAAGTCATGTTTGCTGGGTATCTCAACGCGCCAGCCCCACAAGAGAGCCACTGAGCTTCCTGATAAGGCGCAAAACTTAAACAATATCACTTACGGATTTGTTCGAATCGAAGGAATGACAATGACGAAATATACCGATCGGAGACGATAGTTGGTCGTTATTATGCGTTATTAGAGGAATCAAGCCTAGAAACAAAGGAATAAAACTTGTAGAATGGAGCCGGCAAGCTCACCTGGTTCGCATGGCATGTTTTATTTTCTCAGGACTTGTTTTCGTTACACTGTGATGATCCTTCTTCTATTTTGGTCTTAACACTGGCCTAATGCGTGGGGGAGAACTTTGTGGTGTCATGCTCGTTACCGTAGCATTTTAATAAACAGCTTCACGCCGAAGATATGACGTGAAAGTGGCAACATTTCAGGTGTTCACCGTTCGTTGGTGCTTCAAATTACTGTTTAGAAAACACAATATTTCCGTTCTAGTAGGCTAACTTAGAAAAGTTATTCGGTGCATTCAACCCCCTTTGCAAACAAGCAATCATTTAAGTTCGCTTCAGCTCATCACATGTCGCACTTTCTGAGCCGCATTCAACATGGAGCTCGGACCTTATACGTTGATTTTGAATCGCACAGCATGCCAGGATAACATCATCTGAATCTGGATTCTAAAGTTCAGGTCTTCTGCACTCCAGGAAGGTCAAGACGTTGAAAACATACCACCCATTCGCAGTGAGGCACTAACGTATGCATACAACGACACGTTGATACTTCTTGTTCTAAACACATCCGAAACCCCATTACCGGTTAAAGCTGCTACCGACGGCAGCTGGGAACCCACACACTCACAGCTCTGTATCTGGAAGGCTCCTTCTACGTTTTGGCACACCGGGTTGATGAGCATGACGAACGCTCCCAAGAAGTGGACGGTCAGAAGCACCTGAGGACCAGCAAGCTGTCCGTCAGCGAGCACTATGCGGGTAGCGCAAGCCGCACGCAACAGGGTTGACATTCACCTCACCCAAGTTTGGTATTGCTTTGTGCTTCATGCCGACACGTCGAAGCGGAGCTGCTAAATGACAGAACTCGTTTATTTTCCACACAGCACATGACACGTCGCAAGAAACGGCTGATATCGTGCGTATAGCTCTGGAAGTTTTGCTGCAGTCCATAGTTATTGACTGTGAGAGCGAATATACAATATTTACGAACAAATGCCACCAACATGAGCTCAAGGGCCTCCCAATCCACCACGCACTGTCATCCATGTCCCAGCGGGCACGCAGTCGTTACGTGAACCCACCTGGATGATGATGAGCAGGGGGCCAGCGGTGAAGTTCTCTGTAATGTTGTCGCGCACTTGATCTCCATAAATGACGTAGCCCAAGGTCGCCACCGGGACGTACACCATACAGAGACCTGTTGGGCCATGCGATACGGATGGTGTGCACGTGGCGGAAGATCACATTACCCAACAAGATGTAAAAGGCAGCCCAAGGAAGTCGTCACAGCAGAAAAGCACTGAGGCCGTAAAGGTTAACAAATGGTTGAAAAGACTAAGACCTGGAAGATTCGCCGTAACACGCAACGAATGTGTTGTTCAAACTTTTACCGGCGTGCAAACGTGCCTTGCACATTACGGGGGTACGAGTGTGTCGTAACCTTGGCTTCATCACTAATCCTGACATGATCACGCATACCTTTTAGCGGTTGAATTTGCCTCCTGCTCTGAAAACTCGCTATGCCGAGCCAAGTGTTTCGATGGCATGCTACGGCGTCAATGGGGACCACAGCAGCGGAGCAAATCTAGAAATCATCTAACTTGGGCCAACATTCCCTCTCCTGGCCGCCCGTCTTCGTACTATTAATCTGCGCACTGCCCACACACCCGCACACTGAATGCCTCCTTCTGACACCTCTCTGTCGCCGCACGGACCTGCGAAACCGGCGGCGGCGGCGCGACTGAAGCGAGCCCGGTCGGCCATGTCCAGCTGGATGGTGGGGAAGGTGGACACGCCGGTAAAGCTGAACACTATGGTGCTGAGGCCCAGGCAGAAGCTCGACAGGCTGACCGGCGCCAGTGGCACCACCGGCGCCACCGCCGGCGGCAGCACCATCATCTGCACCAGCATCAACGCGGCGCCCAGCACCACTGACACCAGCGCGAACATGGCTGGTGCTCTGCCGGCGAAACGGCAGCATGGTACCGATGGCATTGGAGCTCACAGGAAATACCGAAACTGTGGAGTACTGTGAACACCGGTGCGGGCTTTTGGGATATCATCAACGTGACCACTAGTGGTTTACGACACACACCGATACCATGACGTACGCTAACACACGGACACCAGGTACCGTAACAGCTGACGCTGATCGTGAATCGGGAGTGAAGTGCCGGCTCGCGGCCTGGTGGGGAACAACTGGCGACGAGCAGAACAGCTGGAGGATCTAATCCAATATATTCTCAAATCACCGCCCCGCAGATACGGTGGGCGCGGAAGTAGAACCAGCGGTCTCTGACCTCGTGCTAGAGAATGTTTTCCATGGGCAGAACACATTAACAACGGAGTCAGCGGTAGCGTTTGGGAGACGTGCGCGCGCGCGTGCGTGCGCGTGTGCGTGTGAGTGTGTTAGGGGATTGACGTAATGTTTTGGAGGGAGCAGGAGGATGGTCTCTGACGACGGATGTTTAAGGGACGGAACAGAGCCCACCTGAGGTGCTGGGGCGAGCCGAGCCAGGTGACAGGGCGTCAGCAGAACCGTCAGCACCAGCACCCAGCTGCATATGCCCAGACTGCGCAGGGCCAGCAGGTCGATCAGCTCCGCTGAGACCAGCAGCAGCACCACGCTCGTGCCGAACAGCGCGATGTTCATCAGCGTCAGGATCACCCGCCTGAAAGCGGCGGAAACGTCAGGATCACTCGCCAGATGACGCCATTGGCGTCATCATGATAATCATCGTCATGACCATAACCACCATCCACCTTCCGGCAGGGACCCAACAAGTATGTGGCGCGTGCTTTTAGCTTTTGGTACGGCGATGCTACCTGCTTACTTTAACAGGCGGTAGGTTTGCCGATTCCGTTATTTAGTAGCCAGCGAGCCACTCATGTATAGCAGCGAGTTTCGCTCGGCAGGGGTTTGGACACCAAATGGTGAGAGTCAGGCTTCCATTCCCATAGAGCTATCACTTAATATTATCTTGAGGGTCCAAGTTAACCCTCTCATTACTTAATACGTAATAATCTCATAACTTGATCACCATCAGTTTGATAATAATTTTGATAATTAATTTTGATAATAATTTTGATAATTAATTTTGATAATAACTTTGATAACATTTTTGTGACAACATACAACAAAAAATGATTACCAAGTGAAGCACGCCGCGGGCGGACTAGTAAAAAACTCAGTACTTGCCTTTGAGCAAAAGTAGAATAAAGGTATAAGGAAGAAAGTATAAGAAAAGTACAGGTGGCCGAAATCCGTGACGAAATCAGGCTTTGGGGTAGGTTAGGTCGACCTCACTGGCTGGAAGTCCCTTCCCCTAACCGATCTGGTTTTAACTGGACATGTCTGGGGTTGGAAGCTAACATACTGTTCAGCCAATAGCGTTCAGCTCCCACGTAAATCTCAAGTATTTCATAATGATGCTACAGATCATATCCAAATTCGATTTGCCCTGATCCGCGACTAGTCGCCTGGGGTCGACAGCAGTCGGGCCGTGTGCGTGCTGGGCCGCGTGGGTAATATTCGCTTACCACGGGTCGCATACCTGGGATAGCAGTAAGAAAAAGAGATATTGGAATGTTAACAGTTGTTAGAAATCTTGAGATGAATTGTTATTTGGAGTTAGTGCGTCGTAAGTTAGTGACACGAGAAGTAATGATGATGTATGTATATGCATGCGTATATATGTATATATATATATATATATATATATATATATATATATATATATATATACGTATCATAAGAAGTAGTGCCAAGTCAGTGCGGCAAAGCTACCAGAACGAATACCCTTCAAACGGAACATGAAATATAGTGATTATAGCTAATTAGTCGAGTAACTGAATGCACTTCGGTAGTGCAGCCACGTGGCTTGACATGCACTAGGCAGAGTCAGGCCTAGTTTTTTCAGCGAAGAATAAACATTTTGAATAACAGGCATTTAGTGGCAAGGCTTGCGAAAAACGACACAATCACAATCTGCGTGCGTGCGTGCGTGCGTGCGTGCGTGCGTGCGTGCGTGCGTGCGTGCGTGCGTGCGTGCGTGCGTGCGTGCGTGCGTGCGTGCGTGCGTGCGTGCGTGCGTGCGTGCGTGCGTGCGTGCGTGCGTGTGTGTGTGGTGTGTGTGTGTGTGTGTGTGTGTGTGTGTGTGTGTGTGTGTGTGTGTGTGTGTGTGTGTGTGTGTGTGTGTGCGTGTGTGTGTGTGTGTGTGTGTGTGTGTGAGTTTCTCGCACTGGATTGCACTAACTAACAGCATGACTTGCATCGCTCTGTTTCTCTAAGATTAGGCTCTAACTACCAGCAGCAAAGACCGATTCTTGAAAGGGCGACAAAAAAACTCTTCCTAGTCGATTTTTCTCATTCATACGGATCGGATTACGTTGAGCTGGCCAGGTTGTTCGTAAGCGCTACGTTTTTCTACAACACGCAATTAGTTGCAAGTCTATATGTTTTCTGATTGACGACATCTGACGATTCCTAGAGACGCATAAAGCACACCGATAAAACGTGTGCCATCCAAAGCGTACGACTTGCTACACGCCGTGAGGCATACTCGCGACGACACAGTTGCTCCCTCTTTTCCCATTTAAGTTGTCCTGATGCGGTGTCACTGCAATCCCTGGTCGTCCGGATGTAGGCAACCTGTACTGCACCGACTTTTTGAAAATGTAAAAACTTTGCGTTTCCTGGTCAGCGAATACAGCATCAAATTTCAGGCATATTGCAACGTCTCAGCAAGTTGTAAACCATGCCTCATCAAACGCTTTCCACTTATACATCTTGAAAACATTACCATATGGCCCTGAAATAATGACGTTGCTTGCTACTGAAACTGCATGGACGTGAATTGTACGAACATTAGCTGTTCCTTGGACTAGCTGGATCGAGCCACCGAGTTTGCGAACTTCCCCATCTCTTGATGACAAGACCCTACAACAACGTTGATGGTGACAAACTTAAGGATCGATGAAAGCAAGATTTGGATGTGTTAGATGACAAATGACTACTGTTCTACGTCGACGCTTGTTTCCATAAGTGCTATAAAATCAAGCAAATCTATTTACATCAAATACTTAGCTCTAGCAAGCGCAAACCAAGCCAAGGAGGATGCACACGAAACAAATACCACGTGGCTTTCGAGAAACTTCCGTGGAATTCTCTCCCTTCCATTATAAAGTTCGTCCACAAGTGAGTCTGTTTTGATATGAGCCCACGCACTTGCCGATTCCCCGCAGCTCGGTCCTCACCATCTGCTCACCTACCCCATGTAGTTTCAGGTGTAGGAAATCGACCAGCACTTCCGCGCTTAATTAAAGCGACGCACGAGCACGTAAAAGCGCACTGCCGCATGACTGGCATGTTGGTCAGATTAGCGTCGTATTCGGATTTATATCCAATGTCAAGTTCAGATTTTCGCTAGATATATTCTATAGTCACAATCAAGCTATTTACAAACCTGCATCCTCTTTCTCAAGAGTTCGTAGTTTGACTTCCACAGGTCAACGAAAGGTAAGAAATTAAATACTCTGGAATACTTTGCCTGACCTCTACAGGTCAAAGAGAGGTAAGCAATAAGGTACTCTGGCATTCTTTCCTTTATCAAATAAATTCAACAAAAAGGATATATTAGTGATACTCATGGTGTCCACTTTCGTCACAGCGGGGAAAATACCTTTCAAAATCAAAGGTCGAAGCCATACAAAGCGCGAAGCACTGCCAATCATTCGCTTACCAAAGAAACTCCACCAAATCGGTGTTAGAGTGATACCCACAATATCTACATCTGTCACATTGGCAATACCTAGCACTCAAGATCAAAGGTCAAGATGACACAAAACGCAGTACCCGACATATATCCGCTTATCAAAGAAACCCCACTAAATGGGTATCACATTGATTCTCGAGGTCTTCACTTCTGTCACACCCTCAGAAGCTTACTTTCGAGGTAAATGATCAAGGTCACGTAAACGCGGTTCTCTTATGTTCGTTTACCAAAGAAATGTAGCAAAATGGATATCATAGTCATGTTAACGATGCCTTCTTTCGTCACATCTACACAACCTATTATTCAAGGTCAAATGAAAGGGCACGCAAGACGCGGCACCCTGGACTTGTTCGTTTTCGAAAGAAACACAACAAAATGGATCTCTCCTTGGTCTTCGTGAAGTGCGCTTTCGTTGCACATGCAAAAGCTAGCTGAACATGGAAGTGACATTTTTGTTCGTTAAGGATCCCGAACAAAACTTTTTTTGAGAATTTCTAGTGCAGTTTGTGGCGTGTCTGGCTTCGTAATATGACATCATGGGCGCACAATGGCGTCGTCGGGATTTTTCGGTTTCTGCGGTAAAGCCCTTCGAAGCATGGCGTGGTCGGCTCCCCCGTTTATGGTACTTCCTTTGGGATGATTTTGATGATTGTTTCGATGACATTTTGAATCACATTTTTGTGGTCTCGACCTTTGAACTTATGCGCCGGTTTTTGCAGATGTGCCGTAAGCGACATCAGAAGTGTTCATGTGGTATCACTGTTTGTTGTACTTATTTGGTAACGAATAGATAGCAGAGTACTGCATTTTGTGCGACCTTGAGCTTTTACCCTGAGAGCTAATTTGTCAAGCGTGACAAAGGCGGAAATCACGAGTATCAATATGACACAGAATTGTATTACCGTTGATTCATGAACGGAGAAATTTCAGGATACCCCACCTTATGTGACATTGACCTTTGACCTAAACATTTTGCTTTGATAGCGCAACGAAGGCGAACATCACGACGACCAATATGAAACCTTTTATTGAGGTTTCTCCGGTAATCGTTTGAATGGTAAGGTACTGTGTTTGCCATGGCCTTGACCTTGAACCCCGAAAGCTATGTTTTAACGATGTAACACAAGCGGACATTATGACCTTGAGCATCACTGACACCGCTTGTGTTGCGTTTCTTTGTCTAACGAATACATGCCAGGGTATCGCGATTTACGGGACCTTGACATTTGACATTGAATGTCAGGTCTGCAAATGTCACGGGACTAGGCGTCGTGGGCATCACTATTATACCCAATTTGTTGAATTTCTTTGGCAAACAAGTCAATGCCAGGATACTGCTTTTTGTGTGACATTGGCCTCTGACATTTTAAGTCATTTTTGCAAGTGTGACGGAAGCCGACATCACAAGCATCACTCTTACACCCTTTTTGCTGTCTTTCTCTGCTAAGCCAATGCATCCTAATAATGCGTCTTGTGTAGCCTTGCCATTTGACCTTCACAGGTTATTTTTGCAGTTGTGGCAAAAGCGGATCTCACGAGCCTGAATGACGTAAATACTTCCCGTGACCAAGTCCCGTGACGCAAGTGATATACAACCTGGCAACTTCATGTCTCTTCACGTCCTGCCGTAACATGTATCCATAACGCTGCGCTTCTATAATACCACACGGGGCCGATAAACAAGATATATCGCCCAAAGTGTGGTATTAATTTCAAAAATACGCCGTTCGCAACTGTCC